TTTCTTTCTTTGCTTTGAGAAATGGTGATGGTTAAGAGGGAGATAGTGAATATTTTACAAAAAAAGCATGTCGCAAGTTGTTTTTAAAATATATATACATACATTTGCCTCAAATTTTGTTTGATTAAAAATTATGTTTTTTTTTATTTTCATTTTTATTTGGTTTCCAAAAAAACAAGAAAAGAAAAATTTAAAAATTTTAAAAAAATGTTTTTGAGTCACTATTGGGATTAAATATTGGGTTGCCAAATGTGCCCTAAGCATAGAAGTGCACTTTTTTAGTCGAATTAAGTAGTGTGAAAGCCACATGGAATGTAGCAATATGAATTAGGGGTGCAGTAGTATAAATTCTCTATATTTGATGTACATCGTTTGACTCAAATATGGAATATCTTTCAAGTAATCAAAAGATATATAAACACAGACTCACAAATATTGATAGGTAAGGAACTTAGCATGGTCATGAGCAGTGAATAAATGTCGGAGACATTATACAACATCCATCATGATAATATTCATCCATTTTCCTAATATCTCTCTTTCTCTGGCTCTATACAGATAGTCACTCAGATAGCCAAGAGAAGACAGGTAGGTCGGCAGGAGGCACTTGGGGGCTCCAGTGTCAGTCAGCAGCACTCAAGTGTGTGTCAGAGAGGGAGCATCTATGGTCTGGTCTGTCTGCAGCAGCAGGAGAGGGGTGGGCAGGAGGAGGAGGAGGAGGGTGGGTCATCATGAGGGGGGGGGGGCATGTTTCATCATTTTGAGCATCCCCCCCCCCCACCCGCTTCTGCAGGTTGGTAGGTAGGTACGTACATACACCCCCCTTGTGACCCACTACTATCTGTGAAAGGCAAGGAGGGCAATGCTGCTGCTGCTGCTGCTCATAATCATCATGAGCATGCATCATGGTGGCATGTTCCTACCTACTACCCCACTCCCTTGATACCCCGCCCTTGATACCCTGCCCTTGATACCCTGCCCTTGATACCCTTCTCCTGCTCCTGCCTTACCCTAGAGGTTCCGTCGGATGGATGCTTGAACCACCCTCAAAACCAAAATAAAGTATATGAAAATAGGAATTCTGTTAATGGGAAAGTATTGGCAACCACGACAACGTTCATTTTGAAGGCAATGTATGAATAGTATTTAAGAATTCGTTATTGAAAGAAAATATAAGAAAAAGAAAAGAAAAGAAGAGTATATATCTATACACAAGAGGGAGAAATAAAGGCGTGATGGGAAAGGAATTAAGAATTTAGTAGTATAGGCAAAAAATAGAAATAAAATACGAACAAAAAACAGAAGAGAGAGACATGGTGGCATAAAGGTTGCTTTTATGGGCACCAACCCTTGGCCGTGTCCTTTTTCTTGTGTAGAACCATCTATGAAATGCTTTTTCATAGGAAAAGGAGAGAGAGAGATAGAAACAAAACTTTTTGGAGAATCTACATAAAATGGCCAATTGAGTGGCTAATGAATGTTCTAGAGCATGACTTCTAACATAGAAGAATTGCAATAGAATAGAATTGGTTAGGTGCTTCAAAATCATTGCAAGTGTATATTTGTTGCATGGGTTGTACATATTGTTGCAACCAAAGTGAATTTATTTGGTGGAAATTCATTTTATACACTATATTTTTGACCTTTATCCACATCAAATATGACTATGTAGAGTCTTTCATGACTTCCATCATTTGCTTGTTGGAAACGAATTAGGTTGTCTTTAACAATGTGGTTATAGACCCCACCCTTCTTTGCAATTGAGTTTGTGAATTATCAAGATTTGTTGTAGTTATTTTTTGATAATTTTAAATGATATATATATTTTATTCATGTTTTGCATATGTGAATAGAAAGTCTATCAGTATGTATTCTACATTTTAAATGCTTAATTATTACCAAATGATAATAGAATAGTATGTACTATTTTAAAAAAATAAGTTGAGATTGTGTAAGAGTAAAACAGCATTGTGAGGCAAGAAGATAGTTATTTACTTTACTATTAACTGATACTTTCTTAAATATATGTATATATTCTAATGTGAAGGAAAATGTAAAACATGTGCCAAGGACAATAACAAAATAATAAAAAAAAAAGTAAATTTAAACATACATTTTTATTTATGTGAAACAAAAAAAGATAAGAAAAAGAACATCATATTCTGTAATAATTATTATTTTCCCACGTTGTGTGCATATTCAGTAGTTTTTGTGTAGTTTGTTTCGTGTGAGTAAAACAGAACATATATTTTTTAACATTTCAAAAGTGTTATGGTTGCTCAAATAATGGTGTATGCATTTAAAATTATAAGCTATAACAATTTGAATGATAATTTTAAAGCCAAGAATTCTACTTTCAAATTTATTGATTTCAATTGTAATAGTGCAAATACTATTGATTTTTCTATAGAGATATTTTTGTATATATATGTATACAATAGTACAAATGAGAGTATCAAAAACTGATTGTGAGATAAATGTATAAAAACATATATGTCCTATGGCTAACATTGGTGGTGAAAGGTAGTATCATGAAACTAAATATAAAACAGACTATATTGTATTTTTTAAATTTGCAATCCCAATCAAAGAGGCTTGTGCACGTTGCAAGTGAGGCACTTGCAGAAAGACTTCGCGTTCACACCGGTGCCCACTTGGTTTTTCGGAAGCTAGATCCAGGTCTCGATCCAGATGCTAAGCTCTCGTTCTCAAGAGTATGACATCGAACCAATCAGCTTGTTTCTAAAGGAGATTTTGCTGACTGGACTTTGGGGACTAGTGGATGAAAATTCGTTTGTATTAAGGGTCACCTTTTTTTTTTTTTTTTTTTTTTTTTTTCTTCCCCCCCCCCCCAATACAACTTGGGCATACAACTTGGTCTTTAATGTGGACATACCTATTCCATCAATTTCCACACCAATACCGTTGTTTTGTCGTTGGGTGTGTTGGTGAAAGAATGTAATTGTTCATATTAGACGTATTAACATCTTTCACTTTGTGGGTAATAATATTACTTTTTTGAGTGAATTGTTCTTGAAAAGCTATCACATTTTTTTTGGAAGATGTCAAAACCACAGTCAAATCAATTGGATAGCTAGTCATACAACAAAGTATATATAAGGTTACTGTTATGTATTTTAATGGGCCTATATATAAATATATATATATATATATATATATATATATGAAATTTCCCAGTTTTTAAGGGAAAAATAAAATCTACCATCTGTTTCTTTCCCAAATTTAATCTTACATCACTTTCTCACAAGACAAAGCAACAATACATTTCCATAAATATTATAGAGTAACCCCCATGAAATAATGTATTTATAATCTAAAGTAAAAAAATAACCCATCAACCCTATATGCCCCATGAACATATGAATTCAAATCAATATATATATATATATATATATATATATATGTCTGCTTTCATTTATTTTGAAAATAATAATAATAAAAACTTCCACAAACACTGAGCAATTTATTAGGACTATTGATCCAACATGTTGAGACAAAACCACAAGCAAAACGCCACCTGGTAATATAAGCGCAATCACCTCAGATGGAGCCCGTCTTCTCCGTCGAAGTCACCGTCACGTCTTCGTCAACATCGTCATCGTCATAGCCTCCGTCATGTCTTCGTCATCCCCGTCATCGTCGTCATTTTCGTCGTCGTCGTCGTCGCTATTACAAATACAACCAGGCAGGAGACACGAGATCATTTCGCCCCACGCAGAACCTTGTGCATTCCTCCTCCGGCAGATCTCGCAACACCCGTTGCAGGCGGAGCCTCCAAGGCAGGGGATCACAAGAGGACGGGAGCTTTTGTGTATTTTTGGCGTCCATGGCGGAAATAACGAGAGAGAGAGCAAGAAAAGAAAAGAGGGACCGTTTTTCCAGTTAGGGGGTCAGAAGTGTTGGCGTTGTCGACGGGCATTCGATGCTTGTGTGTTGTTATGTGTAATTGTGTGTTCGTGGAGATAGTGATGAAGATGGAGATTGCGAAGCACGAGCTGGCGAATCGATGTGGAGACGGTGGTCATTGGAGGGAGGCAGGGCCTCGGTCACGCGAGTGCCAATGGCAAACGTGTGCATCGCCGGACCCACAGAAATATCCACACCAAGGTCGTAGACGATAAGGGAAAACCCAAACCTCAGATCAAATCGGAATAACAAACAAAATTCAATCTGGACCCACAGGCCACTCTCGCTTTTAATGCCCACGCCCTCGCTCCCCAATTATGCTCGTTGAATCCCTTCGTTCAGGATAGCGAGGTAATTCGTGGTTTGCTGTGCGTGAAGAACGTCCCGCAGTTCTCGATGGGAGAGAGAATGGTTCTAAAGCGCCTCTTGCCTGGTTCTTTTCATGCACAGAACAGAATTAGAAATGTTAATTATCTAAAAAGGAAAAGATAGACAGAAGGAAACACGAAGAAATTCACATAATATAGAATCAGGTTCTTGTCCTCTCGCTTGGTTGCTATTCGCGATCCCACTGCTCCACGTTGGACTTTCATGCGTCGGTTGAGATTCGCGATCCAGTGATTGTACTGACAGTGGCAGGCATTTCCGAAGCAAGCGTAGGGTATTTTTCTTATAATATTTCTATTACTTTTTCTTCGATATTGATGTCTGTGAGGGTTTCAGCGTACCACACGTTTCGATTTACTTTTACTGAGAATGTCGATTATGAGTTGGACATAAAATAACCCGGAGCGCGGATTTGGGCTAGAGAGAGGATCGGTGAGAGAAAACTGGCATTCTCAGTAAACTGGTAATGGGCGACGGCGTTATGGGCGGGAGAAAGGGGCCATGGCAAGGTACACCATCAATACAACGCAAGCGCAGGTGCGTGCAGTCGCAGCGGAGGAATGATCGCGGTAAGCAGCCTCGATGCTTCGTCCTCGTCTCATGTCCGTCCGTCGTCTCTGCTAGTCTTTGTCTGGACTCTGTGTTCGCGTTGGGTCGCCGAAAGGGAGGGGCGAGCCGGGTGGACAGTTGGGGGGGCTATTAACCGCGCGTGCTCGTCGAGGATCGTCGAGAGCTGCAGCTGCCATGTCAGGGTCTCCTTCGGCTGAGATTAGGGGAATTATAAGTGCAGGCGGTGCGGGCACAGCGTCCCCAGTCAAGATTTGCTTCTGCAACGTTGGGTTCTCCAGCGGTTGAGGAAATCCGACCTTGCGGGCAGGCAGCGCGGCTCAGTGGTGAAAGGCTGGCAGCAGCTGCCCGTGTACTTGCTGTGTGGCAGGTCTCGAGGAGGGTGGCGGTCGTTTTTGGTTGTGGTTTGTAGCCGTCTGAGGGATTGCGGTATTCGCTCTTAAGGTCGGGACCGGCCGGTGTGTCTGCACAGTTGAATTCTCGTTGGTTGTAGTTGAAGGAGTAGTGAATGGCGCATAGTCATCGTCTTGCAAGTTCGGCGTGACTTGTGAGGTGGAGTCATCGTCTTTTCCGTGGCAAGTACAAGCGGTCTTCTGGAAGAGCCTGTAAGAGCCATGCCTGCCTCGGCTCAACGCTGTAGTGGATGCGTGGGTGTCGATAATGAAGGGTATTTCCTTAATCTTCCTTACCTTGTCTTGTTCAGTGATTATGCGGCGCTGGAAAATCTGTCTAACGTTTTGATTGCGGTCGGTACCGCCCCCACACCCCCGCATTAGTTTCGGTACAGTGTACCACCCTTTTTTCAACAGTTTCATATTCTCATCGTCGATTTCGCTTCCTTGCACTGGCAAAGTCTTAGGAAATATCAACCATCTTGCGTATGATATCGCGTTCACTACGCTTTGAGTGCTGATTCTATCGTGCACAAGTTTTTCTTCTGCTCCTTCTATTCAATTTCGAAAAAATGAACCGGTCGCCTTTTTCCATCTCTGAAATAGCACAACTACCAGCACCTTCACCCAGTGACCTTTTTCGCTTTCAGTTGCCGCATCTCAAAGATGACTTCATGTGCTATCATCTTAGGTATATTGTCGGGTAAGAGAGTGCGACAGTGGATCTCAATGTATTTCACCCCACTACCTATCTATTTGTCAGATTCAACGTTTAAATGCACTATCTGTGCGGTGATGGTGGAGTTGATCCATTAACGACTTCGGGCGCCGACAACATCAATCAATTACAATCTGGTCGGTTTTGTTGACATATCCTACAATAAGCTTGTAAAGGATCGATTCTTACGAGCCTACGAGCAAGACATGAATCTGACTAAAGTCTAGTCTCGTAATGTGTCAGTGAAGAAGGATCAACCTCTTCCTACCATGTTCTGGTGCGAAACCACGTCACATTGGGAGAATAGATGAAAGGTTTGCTGTCGTCTCCTGGTAGTATCCTTGTTTCGGGAAGATCAGAGGAAATCGAAGTGCGAGTCGTAGGTTCGTTGACTGTCGTCGTCGGAACTGGCCGCGAAAGATATTGACGCAGCCAGTGTTGACTATCCGCTTCCAGTGGATTTCAGAAGATGGCTTGAATTCGTGGCTAGTGTGTAGAATAACCGTAAGACTTCAGTGACATGACCGAGCGAACGTTCTTGTTTACGAAATTGGTTGCGGCAAAGCAGTCGAGTCTAGTACCAGTGACTTTTGTCGGAGGAGTCTACTCTGTGACGTCGCAACTGCCATCTACAGTCACTTATTGTTGAGTCCCTTGTCCCCCACGTTTAAGTAGTGATATTTTTGCACGTAGTATTCAGCTGGAAATCTGCTCCACCGCCAGACAGTATGGGTCTCTTGCTTTTGGTGCAAAACATCCCTGAAGCAAGCACGTTCATAATTTTTTAAATCTAGAGATCGTCGAGGTGCCGATCCTTCGCTTTGACTCATAGTACGATTTGTAGTTTTATAGTACCATTGTATATAGCAGCGTATCATTCGAGTTATCGTGGGTTTCGATGCAAGGATTTGGAGAACCTTGTACTTGTGTATTCCAGTTTCTCAGATCGCCAGTACTGATTGTGATTCATGCTTTGCAGGATTTGGGTGACCTATTAACTGGAAGGAGAATCTAGCATTCAGTTTTCGTCTTCCATCTCAAAGCTAGTTTGTAGCATTTCAACTGGCTCATGTACTTATAGATTATTCGCCTTAGCTTCACTCAATATTTTAGAGAACTTGCACAGGCGTCTGAAATGGAGAGATCTTGCAATTCTTCAATGTGAAGGTTTTGTCTTGTAGGAGTGATATAAGTCCGGGTAAGATCTTTAAACAAGAGTGTGTTAGTGGTAGTCATCGTGTAAGAGGACTTCTTCCGATTAATTTTTTTTGATCGACGGAGGTAGTGAGCATGATTTATAAGTTCGAGGGTGCCCCTAGTTTCGACAGTTTCGACCAAGGAGACACCGAAAGCGCAGACGTAGGATTGCTACGAGCGAGCTTGACTACTTTAGGAGAAGGAATGGTGGGTGGTATGTTGCTGAGATCTAAGCGAGCAGGAGTCGTCGGTGGAGAGACTTTATCTTCCTCTTGCAATTCAACATTGTCGGTGTCTCCTCTGTCATCTGGTTCTCCATCGACTAACGGAGCCCTGGTCTCCATGAAAAACATGGCTGTCGCGGCTCCGAAGAAGCACGCTCCGAATCTCGACAAGGCCCGCCTGATGACATGGATCGATGCAATGAGAGCGCAGTCCCCACCCCGATTCCGCTCACTTCATGGAGAAAATCCTGAAACTATTGACATGGAGGCAGCGGCGTACAGCGCTTGGCTTGTAAGCACCGCTATCTGGTTGCAATATCGGTTATCTTTTTGGTAGTTGAGAATGTATTCAACGGGACCTTGTATGTCTTGTTACATGCCTTTCTAACGCGATCTGTGTGATCTACCCTGTTGAAGACTCTGTTATCTCAGAGAAAATCAAGCACTGGTCGTTTGCTTGCGGATGGAATACGTCTTGAGATTGCTCACTAATACTCTTCGTCATATGAAATTCAGGAGAAGCATCCTTCAGCCTTGAGTACTTTTGAGAAAGTAGCAAAACTTGCTAAAAACAAACAAGTAGTTGTGTTTCTGGATTACGACGGTACTTTGTCACCCATAGTCTCGAATCCAGACCGGGCTATAATGACCGATGAGGTGAGTTAAAATTCAGCACATCTACAATACTGAGGGGTTAGTCGCAGTCAGCGCAGCAGTTATGTCTTTGAGTTGTTTCTTGTGAACTTATGGAGCCTGGACAAGAGTTCAGGCTTATGGATACAGAGCGTACACGATGATCAACTGTAGGAGAGGAGGCATAATATGCGAGTTGCCACGTCAATGAATCTCTGATTGAATCATGGTATGATATTTTTGCTTGTCAACTGCTTATTCTGGTATTGTCGTCTAGCAGATGCGGAGTACAGTGAAGGAGGTGGCCACTTGTTTTCCTACCGCTATAATCAGCGGAAGAGCTCGCCCAAAGGTCAGCATGATCTTCAAAACTGTTTTCTACCATCCTTGAAAACGTTTTGAGGTCTGGGGCCTGTGTGTGTGTGTGTGAATTGAGCATGGATTAATTGTTTTATATTGAAACAGGTCTACGAATTTGTGCAACTGTCCGAGTTGTACTATGCGGGAAGTCATGGAATGGACATAATGGGTCCTGCAAATAGCGCAAGTGTTTTCAAGATCAATGGCACTCTAGCGAAAGACAAAATGGTGATCTTTTCTTTCAACCTACATAACTCCAGGACCCTTACTAGCGCTTGTTGAGCATTGAAGAATTTTTACATTTTATTTTTTCTCTTCGAAAACAAATCCTTCTTAATATAGCTGTAAGCTCACCCAATCCTTCTGCTCCTACTCACATAACGTTTCGTTAAACAGGGGAATGATGTTGTGTTCTTCCAACCTGCCAGCGAATTCCTTCCATTGATGGAAAAGGTATGTGCTGTTCAGAGAGTTGATGAGGATGATGAGGCTATAAATTACTGTACTAAGGCGTTGAATACAGTTCTCTGTTTAAAAGTTTTCTTTGTAACTTTTATTGTCGAAATATGACATGTTTTAATCAATTGGCAGTGAATTATATCAGATTTTTCTCTATGCACACAGGTTTGCAATATCTTGGTAGAGACCACCAAATCCATTAAGGGTGCAAGAGTCGAAAATAACAAATTCTGTGCCACTGTTCACTTTCGCAACGTGAAAGAGGAGGTAATTAGCAATACAGAACGATTCCGTGTATGTTTTCCTTTTTAAAGTGAGGTTTAGGTCTCATTTTTCATAATATTACCTTAACGTTTTCACAACTTACTGGATATCTGCCTGAATACTTTTCTATAATCAGCTATATTGATGTCTATCCATTTTTTCTTGGTGGTGCAGCTTTGGGAAGCCCTTGCATCAAAGATACAGAATATTTTGAAGGACTATCCAACTTTGAGCCTCACACATGGCAGAAAGGTAAGAAGGATTCCTTTTGCTTCTGATCTCAAGATTGTATGAGAGCTCATTTATGGGGAGTTTTTTTAGTTTTACGGCCGTTGACAAAGCCTGCGCGTTCTGGTTATGTTGAGCATGATTTTCGTTCTCTTGTTTGATCAGGTGTTGGAAGTTCGTCCAGCCATTGTATGGGACAAAGGCAAAGCTGTAAATTATCTTCTAAATTCTCTCGGTACGTACTGTTTACATTCTGATGTGTAGTACTCCAGTGAAAGTTCATGTTGGAAATTTATGGTTTATCGATTGTGGGGTCCCGGATTCCTTTAGTGGACGAAGCTGGATACGGCTCCAAACTAACGTAATACATTTCCTCTTTCAGGTTTTGCTGACTCTAGTGACGTTTTCCCTGTTTACATTGGAGACGATCGTACAGATGAAGATGCCTTTAAGGTTCGGAAGATCATTGAACCTTGCTCATTGCCTTTTTAGACCATGGGATGAAGTTTTCTCATATAAATTTAACTGAAAGCAATCTGATCACGTCCAGATTCAACATCTTGAGCCTGTAGAAGATGTGTGTTTCTCGTTGGTGCATTCAACTAGTAGGCGAAGTGCGTAGAGATAATTTCACCTCACACTGGTGCCTTGATTGTGATGGCCAGTTGCTGAATGGTATGAAGCACAGTTGCAGCATCTTGGTGACATCTGTTCCTAAATCCACAACGGCTTCTCTTTCCCTTCGGGATCCTTCAGAGGTATCACTGATTCTTCCTCCTTGATACTACACTTTCGACTATGTAAAGCCTTTGTTTCTCAGCACACAGTTTGCGACGTCTGTTCAGCATGATGTGGAAGTTCATGTCTTCTGATACAAAACCATTTCACGAACAGGTTATGGAATACTTGCGACGACTAGTTCACTGGAAAAAGTGGGGATCAGAAAAACGGAATAGCGTCCAAAATGGTCGTTACTTCGTCAACTGATTATGAAAATCACACCGCCTAAGCTGGGGCTATACCTTTTGCTGCTTAACAATACGAGAATTTCTTGGTTGCATCATTTTTGATCGTGGCATGCTCAACCTTGTTATACACTGGTTTGTGGGCCATGTTAGCCTCCCCCTATCACCTCATACCCAACGATTCGCAGCAGAGCTTCTTCATCAACTGCAATACTTTTCAACTCATGCAAACGGACGTGCAGGAGCAATCGGATTTGGTGTGTCTTTGTATACAATGCTGGAGATGAGAAGAGGGTAGATGCTGCAGCGACGCACAAGTGCGACACTGGTTCGGGGTGGAGGACCAGGCTGATTTCAAGCGGCTTCTGCATCATTTATCATTGTGCTGTTTTGGGAAAAAAGAAAAGAAAAGAAAAGAGAAGACTAGTTAAGGAAAGAAAAAGACAGCAGAATATCCTGTAGAGTACCCAAATGCTCGTGAATGCACATTCACATTTATAGAGCCGGCGTCACCGAAATGACTCCCAGAATTAAAAAAAAAAAAAAAAAAAAAAAAAGCGCTAAAAAACACTAAAAAACACTAAAAAACACTAAAAAACTAAAAAAACAACAAATAAATAAATAAATAAATAAAATAAAACTTCTCTGTTAGTTAGCTGTCTGCACAAGCACCGGAGTGAGTGAGTGAGTGACTGTGGGCAATCTCCCAACGGCTGTGCATGTATCATCAACCAGAATGTGGTGAATATATAACAATGGAAACAGCAATTCATATAATTTCACAATATATATTTTTGAACATCTGGATCTTTGCTATCAAACACCGAAGCACGCAAAAGCTTTTGTTGTAGCTCTCACCGTCCACTGGCAAGTTTGCAATTGTCCCTCCTTATTTACCTTGCTGGAGGAGATCGTTCCTCATGTATCTGCATCTGTTCACTTTCGTGTGCTGCTCTCTATAACCTAGAATCTTCCCCATGAAATTTTCTACTTCGGTTTGTGTGCAATCGAAGTATTGTTAGGCTTCCAGACGATGTTGATGAGATTTGGGTTTTGAGTGGACAAGATTGAAGACATTGGGGAGAAGTGTACAAAAATCATGAAAGAGTATGTTATTTTAAATATTTATGTATGTGTAATTGTGTATTAAAAAATAAAATAAATTATTGTTGTTCTTTGTATCTACATCATATATTTTAGCAATCAATGTTATTATATTATTCATTTACAATTATTTCTGACTTAATAGAAGTTGTAAAAGTTTACAATTGTGGTTGTTGTGTACATCTATTTATTACATGAGGTATATGCAATGTCTAAGCTTGTGACTAATCTTGCAATTTATGTGATTTGATTTTAGGATTGATTTATGCAATTAATGTTACAATTAATGTGATTTTGTATGATAATTTGGCTTGATTTTAGGAAGACTTTAGTGTCTATTATTTTACAAGAACAGTACATACTGTAGGTATGAAATAGGAGAAAGAAGATTTGTGTTAGATGGTCATGGCTTTGGAGGACTTATTATCAATAGACTTGGAGCTGAAACAAAAAGACTAATTCATAGACATATTGGTAGTTCTATGAATGGTGAATTAAAACCAAAGACTGAGGTTTTTTAGATAATTTACAAGACTTTTTTATATTGTACTTCATATATTGGTGCATATTTTAAGCGTTTAAAATATAAATATATATATATATATATATATATATATTTTAAGGACTTTAAAATTATGTAAGAATTTGGAATAAAAGCTGAAGAAGTTTTCAATCATGGTTGATGATGCTCTTAATAATAGCAAGATACTTTATTATGCCATTCTAGTAGACAAATGCATAAATAGAAAGGTTTAATTTTATAATGTTTTGAAAAATGAGGCATTAAATTCATGAAATAAGTTCTTATTGTTGGTAGAATAATATGAAGATGTGATGTTTCTATTTGAATATCATCAAGTTCTTTGTTTAGAATATGGCTAATGTTTGGTATATAGAATATGTTCAAAAGAGGTCTTAACTTGGATTTTAGAAATGGTTATTTTACTAAATTTCTAATTAATCTGCCATTCTAAATTGTAGCATATAGTGAATAAGTTTATGGTGTCAATGAAATTTTGAATGTTATAAGTGCATTTTTGAAATGTTTGTAATGAGTTAAACAACATGAAGATGCAATGGAATATTGTTGTGTTAAAAGACAACTATTAGGTAAAAGTAAAAAAAAAAAAGAAGAAGATTATATTATAAAATATCCTTATTTAAATATAATATAATATCAAATTATTTCAAAAATTATAATTAAAAATAGAGAGGTAATAAAAATCAATTGAGTATTAATACCACGTTTTTATAAAAGATATTTTTATTTACTTTATAGGACCATAAATAATAAAAACAAATAGATTAGCCAAAATAATATTATAGACATCTTAAAGTAAAAGTGAAGAGTAGGTTTCAACAAAAAATTACTTAGAAAAACCTTAAATTGATACTAAGAGAGGACTAGTTGTGAACCATGGTTGAAACTATATATTAAAACACAAAACCACACATCCATAGCAAATGTGAAGTTTTAAGTTTAATCAAAGGATGAAATTAATAAGTAGACTTGATAAGATTATTTTGAGTATTGATTTTGAATGTTTTGAGTGAATAATGGCTTTGTAAAAGCTTTGCAAAATTAAGGTTGTTTTGGATGATTCTATTTTTTTATTGAATAAAAAAAGACTATATTTTGATGAAGCATGTGTTTTTGTAGTAGATCCACAAGTAAAGATTTGTTAGTTTATAAAAATAGTTATGTTAGATATGTATTATGAAATTGAGTATAATTTAACCAATAGATCAAAGGTTGTTGAAATTTAAGCGGATTAGGATCTTAAAAATTAGATTTTGACTATAAATAAGGATTTTTATGATTTTAAGAAATTTTTTTAGTAAGATTAAAATAGTATTATTTTATAACTATTAATTTATTACTTTTTAATATTTTTGTAAATTTTTAGAATATGAAAAATTGTGCAAAAAAGACCTATTGATATCAAAATATTTAAATTAAGATTGGAGAAGGAGAACAACCAATACTTCAACAAATTAAGAAAATTTTCTCCCAACTTATAAGTTTAGTTTTCTTCAAATCTTTTATGCTTTTTTTTTTTAACTAATAGATTGAATAGTATAAAATTTTTAAATCAATAATAATGGTTTAATTAATAATTATTGAGGTTTTAGATTTATTATAGAATTTATTTGGAATCTAATTAGTATTTGTTAGGATTTACTTTAACTTTAATTAGTATTTTATTAGTATTTTTTAGGATTTAATTAAGATTTGATCTTTTAGGACTTAGGATTTTTTTATAGGATTGGCTAGAATCTGATTAATATTTCTTTAAGGTTTCTTTGTGATTTTTTAAGAATTGATTACATTTTTTTTATAGAATTTAATTAGCATTGTTAAGAATTTTTCAAGATTTGTTTGGAGTTGGTTAGAATGTAAGAAGATATTTTAAGGATTTTTCTAAGGTTGATAAGGTAAACTAAGTACAATTAGAATCTTATGTAAATTGTTCAACTTTTCCAAAAAGATGTTTCTAAATACTTTTTGTATTGTTTTTGGATTGTAAATCTAATTTCAAGATTAGATCAAATCCTTTTATAGCAACATGCCTTGTGCATTTCCAAGTTAATTTCCATACAACATAACAACCTGTAGAAAATTAATAACTTATAGCTATAAATAATAATTATAATAAAATTTGTAAATTTTGCAATAAAAAAATATAAATAAAAAATAGTATGATAATTTCTTTTTTTTTTTTTACTAAAAATGATGATCTAAGATGCATCATGCTTATGTTTATAGTACATCAAAACGGATTTAATAAATCTTATTTTGTGAAGATTTTTGAATGACATTATTTTTGCAATTATAAGTTGATATGCATGCATGAACTTATATATATATATATATATATATAATCTTTGTCAAAATTTCTTGGATTTAAAAAAAAAACATTAGAAAATTCAAACAAATGTTAGATTTTTTTTAAAAATATTATTTGATAGGTGTAGAAGGCATTGGAAAAAAAATATTAGTAAAAGCATCTTGTCACCAAAAAAAAGACTATAGGCTTTGAAGCAAAAAACATCTTGTACAAAGGATACAAGAACAAAGATGTTTTTCATTGATAATAGCAATTAATGAAGGATATTATAAAGGATAGTCAATACAATGGCTTAAATTATTCATGTGACAAAGAGTAGGATTTAACTCTTCTATGAAGGTTTTTACTAGAAAAAAATATATTATTGGTTCTTAATGGTATTAAAAAAGATTCCATCAAATACATTATACTAGAAGATATAAAATTGTATACTAGTAGCAAGGTAATATTAATGTCTTGCAATGGATCTTTTTTGGAAAAAAATATGGTTGATAGACTTAATATGGAACTTTCAAAATTTTATATATCAATAGAATTTAAAAAAATATTAAAGGTATAACAAATGATATTTTGTTATAAGCACTAAACTTCTAATAAGCCTTAAGGTGGTAGGATTGTTTTTTTAGCTAATATATATATATCTATATATATATATATATCTATATCTATATATATATCTATATCTATATATATATATATATAATTATTAAAAAATATTAAAAATATTAAATCTTTAGATGGTAGAATGGATGAAAAATTATAGAATATATTAAAAATTTCTTTATTTTGGATATTTTTTTTAATTTTGATGGAATGAATAACTTCATTCATTTAGAGCTACAGAGAAGATTTTTTTTTAAAGTTTTAAAATTTAATTAATATGCATCTTATTACTATTAATAAATAAGATTTATTTTAAATGCATAATCAACTATTGTCTTTAAGAAGAAATATTGTAAGAATTCAATACATGCATATAAGTATTTTAAAAGAATTAGATGAATTGAGACATGCTTTGAACTATTAGTACAATTGATTTTATTTGACTTTTGCATTTAAGTTATGTATTGATTTTAAGTGATACTTACAATCAAATGATATAGTTATCTAAACATGATAAGTTCTTTTTTGGGTTTCTTATTTGTATAGGATATAAAAAAAATTAAATGATTTTAAAATATCTTTATCTTTCTAACAAACTGTTACAGAATATAATGTCAAATTTTACAAAAGAGAGGTTAAAAAAATATATAATTTTTTAATTTTAATTATGAAAAAATATAATATAGTATATCCTGAATTTTTTTTAATAAATTAGAGCTTAAGAAATTATAATGGATTCAATTCTTTATTATTTAATTAAAAAATTTCGGCCATTTTTATCATATGAAGTATAGACCATATTTATGGTATATTCTTGCCATGAATCAAATATTGTGGAAGGATATAAATTTGAGGTATGTAAACTATTATTATAAAAGGTACAAATATTAGTGGTATAATAGTCATATTTATAAAATATATAAAATACATTTATAAATTTAATCTATTTATAAATTATATCTATTTGAAATTTAATTCAAATTTATATTTATTAAATATTAATATTTATTAATTTTATAATTCTCTTATTTAATTATAGATTCTATCTACTATAAAAATCTTAAAAGCATTCATTGAAATAATTTTGAAAGAAGTTTATATATATATATATATATATATATATATATATATAAATATTATCAAATTAAATTCTTGTTATTCTTGGTATGAGTTACAATGGTGCAATGAGAGATGTTATTATAATAAAATTTATATTTTAAAAGTAATAAAAATAAATAAATTA